AGTGGGCTGGGAGTGGGCTGTGACAGGGCTGGAAGTGGGCTGTGACAGGGCTGGAAGTGGGCTGTGACAGGGCTGGAAGTGGGCTGTGACAGGGCTGGAAGTGGGCTGTGACAGGGCTGGAAGTGGGCTGTGATGAAATAAAAGACTGTGACGATATTAGAAACTGTCATCGTTTGAACTTTAACACTGGCCTTTAAAGCCAAACAGAAAACGTTTCATTGGTTGAACCTGCGCTGTGTCATCATTAAAACAAAAACAAACAAAGAAACTTGAACAGTTATCACTGTTTAGTTCATGTTATTTCTTTTTTTAAATCTTGTTGCGTTCTTTTATCTCAACCAGGGACTTTTTACACAAAACACTGTCAATCTCACCGAGGTTTTCCTGGATTATCAGATTAGATCATTCAAATACTCTTGAGATTTGTTTCTTCCAAACAAATAGTAAAATATTTGTACAAATCAGTACAAGTATGACAAAATACTTAAAACTACCAACATGGGATTTTAATAATAGTGTGTAAAACTACTACTACTAATAATAATAACAGTAATGATAATAATACATAATATTGCCAGTCATAAAAGCCACAGTGTATTTTGGGTAAGTCTGTAAACGGCGGAGCTCAGTCCAAAGCAGCTGGGATTAAAGCAGATTAACAGACTGAATCTGCAGAGACTTTTGTTTATTTTTGTGAGCTGTAAGACTTCAGGCTGACTGTGGAATTACATGAACGTATTTCTATCCTCTTCTCAAGATGTTCAGGCTCTAACTTGACGCAAAATAATCTCTAAAGCCACGGAGTAAAAATAGACAAAGCTGTTTGTGTAACGGAGTCTTAAGGATCTGTAAAAATCCCTAATCTGCTGGGATTATATCATCCAACAATCAGGAGCCGAGAGGAGAGTGGGCCGAGGTTTCTACCACACCATGACTGACTGAGATATTTTGGTTTCTTTTTTTCAACCTCAGTGCACAACAATGGCAGACGCGGCTGTAGCGACACCTGCTGACAAGAAGGCACCGCCCAAGTTCAAGCAGAGGACGACTCGTACCTTCAAGAGCAAGGCTCCCAAACCCGGCCAGAAGGGGTCAGACTTCTCTCACAGTCATCAGCGACAACATGAATTATTTTAATGTTAAATATGAGAATTCATTCTCATATTGGTTTCGTTTTTGCTCAGATTCGGAGACGACATTCCCGGCATGGAGGGTCTGGGCACCGACATCACGGTGGTCTGCCCATGGGAAGCCTTCGGGGACATGGAGCTGAGCGACCTGGCCAAATATGGAATTGTCTAGAAATCCTCATCCGTCTTTCACCTTCCTGCACTTATTTTTCCATCCCACCCATTATTCCCATGTTTCCATTTTCCCCTCCACCTCCCAAATGACATCTGACCTTTGACCTCATCAACTGAAAAATTATGAAGAGAACTGGAAAACTCCACAACCTG